CTTATCGTGTCTAGTCGGACGACAGGTGAAAAAGTGTTTCGGTAATCGATGCCATATCGTTGACTGTAGCCCTTGGCTACCAACCGTGCTTTCTTCTTCTCGGTTTTGTCAACGTTAAGCTTCGTTGTCAATACATATCGGCATCCTACCGCTTTTCGATTTCTCGGCTTTTGAACAATTTCCCATGTTTCATTTTTTTACAAGACTTTTGACCTCAGACAATATTGCTTCCTCCCATAGAGCACGTTCAGCGCTACTTAGGGCATCCCCTAAGGAAGTTTCCACAGTCAACGCAACATCCTCAGGTAAAGTTTCTTCTGCACGGCCATTATTATCATTGGGTATCATTTTATAGACCTTCTTAGGTCGGCCAACTTGGCCTTTCTGAAGTTTTGGTCTTCCGGGACCTCTCTTATACGTTACCTCTGTATCAGCTTGCGCTATTTCACTATCTTCCTCATGACATAGAGAAGGTGAACCAAGGGGTGAATCAGTCGTCTCCACGATCATTTCTCGAGTTCCTGAATAAGATGTACTTGGTATTACGTCCACCTCTACATATTTCGGCTTCGGTGTATCAACATCAGCAGAAAATTGATCTAGCTGAAAAGGATCATGAGTAATTGCCGATTTCCTGTCATCATTAGTATCGAGCCTCGTCTTGCAGAATTTCACATCCCTAGCTATAATGGTTTTATGGTCTACTGGTATCCATACCTTATATCCCTTTTGGTTCATTGGATATCCAATAAATATTCCATTGACACTTCTGGCAGCAAATTTGTCCTTGGTTGGATTCTTGTCTAGAACATAAACTTCAGCTCCAAACTTCTGAAGATACTCAATCTTCACTGGAGAGCCAAACCACTTCTCGTACGGAATTGTACCACCCAAACTACTCGTGGGACAACGATTCCTAATATGACATGCCACCAATACAGCATCTCCCCAAAAACCTGCTGAGAGATTAGATGAAAGTAACATACACCTAGCCATTTCAACTAATGTCCTGTTCATTCGTTCTGCTACGCCATTCTGCTGTGGGGTTTGAGGTATAGTCAGTCTTCTTATTATCCCCTCTTGTTTCAGGAATTGATCAAACTTATTATTACAGTATTCTCCACCGTTATCAGTTTGTAAATACTTTATTCTCTTAGCGGTAAGGTTCTCAACATAGCTCTTGTATTCTTTGAAACATTCCAGAACACCACTCTTACTCTTCAGTAAGTAAACTTCGCACCATCTAGTACAATCGTCAATAAACGTGACAAAATATTTTGCACCACCGACAGTTTCATTTCGAATTGGCCCAACTACATCGGAATGGATGATGGACAGTTTTTCGTCACATGGTCCACTCGACTTGGAAAATGGGAAAGAAGTCATCTTACCCTGCACACAATACTTACAGTCGTATAAAATATTTATATTTGACATATCAACTTTAATGCCCACATGACCTAATACTTTTATTAAATCCTTCACATTTAAGTGACCTAAACGTTCGTGCCAGGATAGTAAATCGTTCTTAGTTTCGGAAATCGCAGAAACAGAAGCATGGCCCTCCCGCATATAATAAAGGTTGTTTTTTCGATCTGCTATGAACTTAATATTCCCTTCAGAATCGGTTACATAAGCTGAATCTTTCTTAAAAGTTACATTAAAACCTTTGCTTGTAATTTTAGATACGGAAATTAAGTTGCATCGCAAATCGGGAACATATAAAGTGTCTGATAGTTTTATCGGAACCTCCCCATTCAAACTCACAGTTCCTTTACCTTTTGCAAATGTACTCACATTGGTGGCCAAACTTAACTTACTACTGCAATTTGTCAAGGTGTCAAATTTTCCTTTCGATCTACAAAGGTGCGATGTACACCCACTATCTATGAGCCAGTTTCCTCCACATCCCGAACCAATCACTCCGTTACACTCTGAAACAGATAGAACACATGAGTTAAAATTCTCACTAGCACCTAACTCACTAACACATTTTGAGTCCTGCCTTGTTCCTTTACACGGGCAGTCCGAAGCTTTATGCCCTTGTTTATGACATCTGTAACATTTAAATTTAAACGCTTGATCCGGTTTATAATTCTGCGGATTTTTAGATGTAGAACTCCTAGCTCCTAGCGTGGTTTTTCTCCTAGCGAACATTGCTGACGACCCCCTCTCTGTCTCCTTCCTTTGCTGTCGCCTAGAGGCATCTTCTTCAAGAATTTTAACTTTTAAAGAATTCGGGTCTGGCAATGAATCTCTAGTCTCCATCGCACATCTAAAGTTCTCATAACTTGGGGGCAGACTATAGAGTAAAATAATAGATGCAAGATCATTATTTATATTTATGTCCATGTCTAGTAACTTTTCTTTGGCTTCAAAGAAGCTTAACAGATATTCACGCATGTCGTCCTCCTCACACATCTTGTGTAATATGAGCTGCTTTAACAGTGTCGCTTTCTTAGCGGGACCCGAAGACGCGAAGATGCTTTCTAATTTGAACCAACATTCTCGCGACGTACTCGTCCCCTTAATGTGTCGTAGCTCACCTGGACTAATTGAGAGAATAATCTCCGCTCTCGCCTTTGCATCCGCCGCTTCCCAAAGCAACGCCTCTGCTGGCTCAGCTGGCTTCTTAATGCTACCATCCACATAGCCCCACACATCGCTCTTAATCAATAGAGCATGGGCCTGGATTCGCCATGAGTCGTAATTATCACGGCTTAATAATTCTATCCGCACACTCGCCATCGTTACTAGGTTAAGCACTCTAGTTCCCCCTTTTTTTTTATTAATTTACTGGACTATGACTGGGCCCATAACCTTTGTTGGGTTATAAGTGTGCAGCGGTAGTCGCGTGCAGCAGTCCAGTTTTTATTAAAAAAAATTGACAATATAAAAACATAACAAGACCATAGCAACGCCAACTTTAAATAACGAACTATGACGATATAATATGTATGCAAATTACCAAAGAGTTTCCTCTAATATATTATTTATTATTTATTATTTATTATTTATTATTTATTATTTATTATTTATTATTTATTATTTATTATTTATTATTTATTATTTATTATTTATTATTTATTATTTATTATTTATTATTTATTATTTATTATTTATTATTTATTATTTATTATTTATTATTTATTATTTATTATTTATTATTTATTATTTATTATTTATTATTTATTATTTATTATTTATTATTTATTATTTATTATTTATTATTTATTATTTATTATTTATTATTTATTATTTATTATTTATTATTTATTATTTATTATTTATTATTTATTATTTATTATTTATTATTTATTATTTATTATTTATTATTTATTATTTATTATTTATTATTTATTATTTATTATTTATTATTTATTATTTATTATTTATTATTTATTATTTATTATTTATTATTTATTATTTATTATTTATTATTTATTATTTATTATTTATTATTTATTATTTATTATTTATTATTTATTATTTATTATTTATTATTTATTATTTATTATTTATTATTTATTATTTATTATTTATTATTTATTATTTATTATTTATTATTTATTATTTATTATTTATTATTTATTATTTATTATTTATTATTTATTATTTATTATTTATTATTTATTATTTATTATTTATTATTTATTATTTATGATTTATTATTTATTATTTATTATTTATTATTTATTATTATTTTATTGACAATTAAATTCATTAAATTCCCAACATATCTTCCTTTTTCCGTCGCTCTAAGTATCGGAAATCTAAACTTACATTTGAATAAATATGAACAACACTTAAAGATTAGTTTGCCACAGAAGTTTCACTTCTGACATGTGTACTTTGTACATACTGTAGACGGACTATGGTATAGACCAGGCATCAGCGTACAGCGTGTGAGATAGCGAATGATTGACATAACTTCATAATGCCACTAATATTGCCATGAGAAAATTTTTCCCTATTTTGTGGGGTAATTTTAACTATAAGAAATACCCCCCAAAAAAAATCAAATTTCAAATAATTATAGGAAGTGTGTGTAACAGACGTTGTTTTTGTTCACAGCTGTGCAGCTGTGTGCGTGAAGTCTAGGGCTACCGACTACACTGTGTACAGTGTACAGTCTACATTGGTTAGGTTAGAAACAATAACAATTATACAATATTATTATTATTTGGTTATAACATTTTTTTTAAAGTGTCTTGGGCATATCCGGGCGTTTTGAGATGGAGGCCAGATTAATCTACCGGTTCACTCAGTCCATTTATTATTTAAAAACGGTTCATTCGGAAAACTGAAAAAAGTGGAAAATTTATTCAAGAGCTGGTAGCCCCAACGAGTTATAATCCAACTATTTACAAAGGACACGAAGTGTGGCAACTACCTGACGTAGGTAACATGATTTGCAATTTAGTCGGTTAGCACTGAAAAATATGTTTGGAATTGTCGTATTTACAGTTTTAATTCATTAAAGATTGCTTATTCTTGACAGTATATATTATATAATATATTGCAAAATACACATTGGAATGAATAATTCTTGAACAAAGTTACTGAGTCGTGACAAAATAAGCTACTTACTGATGAAAGGTTATGTTTGGTTCTTTACGTTCACTATAGCTTTTACAGCCAATTATGCATCAATTCACCATGACTGACACTTTAAATACACCTCTTATAAGGATAAAGTCTTAAATTAATATGGGTTTCACAGATTTATGACAACATTGTGGCAATGTGGCAAATTGGTGACATTTTGTTTACCACCAAGCGCTCGGTGGTAAACAAATAAAACCCGATACGCAAATAGAGACAGAAAAACTGATACTCTGTTTCGCTCGCACTTATCTAGTCTATACTCTATCTACGGTACACACACACTTTTTTTTTGATAGTAATGCGACATGACGTATTTTGACAATTTGTCAGTTTAACATTGTTTAACCAAAATAATTTAAAGTTTTCCCTAAATTTTCTATTAAAATTGTACAATGTCTGCATCACTCGATTCAAACTTAGATCCGATGGAAGAAATACGCTTTCGAAAAAAACATGGTGCTATGTGGATAGAGATTCAGAAGGAGACACACTTTAGTTTTGACGAACTTGAACGTAAGTCGAGACGACGTTCTTTGTTATGAAAGAATATTAATACACGCTCATTATAAGCAATGTTTAGTATTATATGACAAATATTTGGGGAACCCCTTTTCAGTCTCCTTCATCGTTTGCCATTCGGTATGTTTTTCATGTCTATAACAGCTATGATGTCGTCGGTCCAGCGTTTAATCTAAGTAATCTAGACCAACTAGAGTTGGGTCATAGGGTCACCGTTTGGTAATAATGTAAATAGTAAAACGATTTTGTGTGTCGCTTTACAGTCCGAATCACCGCAGGAGCTGTATGTCGAGATGTTTTTTTTTTAAATAAATTGAGTGTGAAATTCTATTATAATAGTATTTTATGACATTTTGCAATTCATTTCTTTTGATTTAACTAAAATATTTATGATTGATGATTGATTGAGAAGATTTTTCAGCTAAACACTAGGGCATCGAGCCCGGGTTTACCCGGACCGAAAAAACCCGGGTTTTCCCGGTTCTGAGGATTACAAAAAAAACCCGGGTTTTTTTTAATACTTTTGTTATTGTTATTTATTTAGTTTAAGCCACTTCGAATGCAATAATAAGTAAATGGAATAAAAAGACGCTTTGATAAATTGTTCTTTATTACGTAAAAAGTAGCTTCGTTGCTACGTTCCTACCAATAAAACAAGCCTTGCAAGTTAAATTCGCGTTCCGCGCGTCCATCTCAAGACATGAATAGAGTGAAGTGTGGAGCAGTGGAGAGGGGAGGGTGTAGCGAAGCTCGTCGCGCTTTGTGCGGGGTGTTGCCGATGATGAAATTAAAGCTTTAATTGATTTAAAAACAGATATTGTATTTACTGATGATGACTGGAGAAATAAAGATGAGATCCAAAAATATTGGATGTTATTAAAACTGTCGTCGAGGCGCTATGTCGACGCGATGCAACATTACTTACAGCTGATGTTTCCCTAAAATTTGCATTGAAAAAAATGGATGAAATAAAGACACCACTAAGTAACAAAATGGCAACTGCATTTGGCAAACGATACCCAAAAAAAATACTAACTCAAGCAGCCACACTACAGTACCTACTTGACAAATCCGGGTAAATATTTTGAGAACATTCAAAATGAAGATAAAACTGTTTTTATCGGCCTACAGTAAATGAAATGCTAAACGAAATTGTTAATCTGATTAAACGCACAACCAAAAAATAAAATATACCTCTTGAAAATTTGCCAGCGCCAGACCAAGACCTGCGAGAAATTGACATTCAGTTGTCTACTTTGTCAAATGAAGAGGAACTGAACAGACAGTTAAGTCAAGCTGTTGCTACTGATAAGAATGCTTCTGAAACTGGATCAGCTTGTCCATCAGACGATTTGCTTACCTACTACTGTGAGGGTAGAAATAGCACTCTTCGAGAATGGCGGTACGCGACGGCGAGAGCGTTCCTCTCTTTTTTTCTAAAGTGGTCAGATGGTCAGAGGTTATGTCTTAAATAATGTGTCAAATGCATAACTACTTTTTACTTAGTATTTTAGGTAATTATATAAAGACCTAATTATTAAGAAAACGACTGCAATTTAAATTATAGTAGAATAGAAGACTAGAATTATTCGTTACTTAATTGTTAATGCGAAGAAGAGCTTTATTAATATTAAAATTAATTGTGATACTACAAAAATGTCTTTTGAAGATTTTCTTTTTATTAGCTTTTAAATACAATAAGTGAATGTTTCCAAAATAATTCATTTAATGTTAAAACTAATCTCTGCAAGTCTGTGATTTAAAAAATACTAGATTACTTACTAAGTTTTAAGATATTCTGAAGAAAAAATAAATCTTTATCACTTTTTTAAACATTAAAACTGTTTTTGTAATTTGTAAAGTACTGTTTCATTTATTTAAATTCTTCCTCATCCTTTATATTTTGTATTCATTGTAGGAAATCGATATATAAACGCAGATTAGTGCATTTAAAAAAAAATCAATAAAAAGACCGAAATGCTCGAAAAAAACCGGGTACCCGGGTTTTGATTGCTCTTAGACCCGAAAACCCGGGTTTTGGAAATTGGACCGAGTTTCGATGCCCTACTAAACACTCCAAACACGATGATAAATAAACCATTTCAAAAACAAACAATGGTCCAAGCCATAAGAAACAAGCCTAAAACTTTACAAACATATTGACTTGGCTATTTTAATTTACCTAATGCAATTTTACTTAATGTTAAGTTGATTTTCATTTTTCTTGTCCACATGTGGAATAAAATGCGCAATAAAGTACTGATAAAGTTTCTCAGTAAAAGCTTGTAGGGGCTGATTAATCATTATTCAAAGAATTATAGGCTTTGACATATTTAATACAGGTTTTACGAATACCCTTCTTTATATTTAAAGTATAAAGATCATATTCCCAGTAACAGTAATATCAATTTCCTAATTTACGTCCATACACAGTCATAGACGACGCGTAATTTACCAACGACTCAAAAGTGTCTCATACTTATTATTACTGAAAACGTACACTGTAAGCGGGTAGCGGGTAAATGCTTAGAATAATTTATAGGAAAATTGTTAGTTGAAGACACCATTGCAATTATTGACGGTAAAAGCTTTGGTAATTAGGGTATAATATTGAATATAATTTATGGGTGTAATTACGATACTATATTGACGTTCGTACCTACGTTCTGTATGATACAGATTTGTCTAATATCTGAGATATGAATGTGTGATTATGAAGATACCACAAGTGTGTAATAATGCCCCTTTTAATGTCTTTCGGTCATTGAAGCGTTGAAATTGAAGAAATTTTGCGCACAACGGGTTATGGATTTATTGGATGTTTGAAGATAGACAGGCATTGAAATGAATCTGCATTCCATTCGTTAATAAATTGGGGTGCAAATTGTTTTATTACGTTTTTACAACGATTTCGATTGAATTTTGATGAAACGAAGTTATGAAATTTATTACGAAATACTAACTAAGTGTATTAACTCAATTAATTCTGTATAAGGGTGAAATAATTTTCCGAGAGCCAACGATGCGACTATATTTACAATTTTCGACTAAGACCCGTGTTTGCGATTAAAATTTGAGTAAAAATGGATACTGCCATATGCAGATGTGATTATAATTAATCGTATCTTGCCTTTTTACCAGGAAGAAAACGTGAAACAATAATAATTGTTTCTAAAAGCACATTGTCTTTGTTTATAATATGATATGATATTGATTATATATATATCTAGATAAAAAATATATCTTTATAGCATACTAAGAAAATAAAATTGATTGCATAAAAGCCGGGTTCGAGCATAGGGTGGGTGATCTCTGGTTGAGAACCCCACGTAACTGTGACCTGCAAACAATTTGTGATTGTCTTTTTAATTCATCGGAAACACTATTGACATTGATACCACTTCTTAGATATTCGTTCTATAAATAAATAATTAAGTTTTTCTTAGACTATTACATAAGGCTTTATAATTATACGAAAAAGATAATTTATAATATTATTATTATTTTTTATTATTAGTCTCAAAATATAAAATTGTTTTGCGATATATTTTCTTCGGGTGACGAAAGCCTTAAGCAAATCATTTCATTAATATAGCGTGCATTTTAAATTTGTATTATACATATTTGAGACTGTCTCCCATATAAAGAGCATTGTATTGATTAAATTCTATTTAGAATGTCACTAGTAATTGCTAACATCGTTATGGTCGCGGAACACTTTGTCTGTGTCATTATATTGATTTTATTTTGTCTCACATTGTATTATGCATTCTTGTATGACCCACAGAAATTATGGTAATTTTTTTCAAGATTCAAAAGCGCGATGAGAAGCCGGCGGCATCTGATTTAATATCGAGGTAAAAGTTAAATTTGTTTGATGATTTATTTCATGGCGCATTTTTAGTTTTTGTTCAATACAAAGGATTTCATATGTCCAAATATTTGAACATTGCAAAAGCCGTATGTCCGAAAAAAATAAAAGGTCTAGTCAATTGCTTTGTAGTGCTACGTAAAAATTCTATTCATCGAAATATGTTTTATGGAATAAAATAAATTCCATCGAACGGAAGGAACTTCCAGAGCTACTTAATAACATTATATTCGAGGTAATTTGATTTCAAATAAATAATTAATCGCAATAGGAGATTATACTTAGCTTTCTTTCAGGGCACATTTTAGAGACGTTCTGCACACTGGCCTGGGGATGACAGATTCTTATATGATGGAGCGGGTGATGGTAGCCTTAGACCGTGGTACTTCACCATTTGTTACCATGGCAACTTTCGCCAAAGCAATATCTCTCTACTTGAGAGGCACGTTGGAGGAACGAATTTCCTACGCGTTTACGGTATTATCAATTTATTATACAAAGCGTTGATGATGAAAAGCTAATGCGATTTTAAATTATTTTAAGAAATAATTTTGATTCTGAATTTAAGAAAACATAATTGTAAACAGCCTCACGGTTAAAGAAACATGTAATTAAAACATACATTTGAACAACAATGAAGAGTTTGCGACGTGATCTGCACTTAGGGCAATAGCGCACTAGCCAGCCCGATCGCGCGTCTTGGCCGGCGACCAGGCCGCAAGAGTCCTACCAAGCACCGCGGCCAAAACCACAGCTACATCGGTCAGTGCTAATACAGCGCTCTTCAAAATGGACGCTGAGCAAAAAGCAGTGTTGGGTTAGATTTAGAAATACGTCGCCTGAATTTGATGATACTGATTATGTAGGTATCTCGGGGGACCTTGGAACCCTTCCAAGTAATTTTGGCTGCCGGAGTTGCGTCTAAGTATAAAAAAATGAAATACTATTGTGTGTTTTGAATTAAATTCGTTAAACGAAACGTAAATTTTATACTTTTCTCTTTATTATTATAATATTTCAAACAGCGTGTACAAAAACATGTGAAACGCAAACCGTGTAGATTTTGACAGACATATTCCGTTACAATTTCAAGTTAACGTGAATGTGCTTCTGCGTTTATTTTATTTGGATTTTTTTGAAAACTTGGGTAAATTTTACAATTAAGGTAATTGTTACTAGGCTGTTCTACCCCCAGAGTGTTATTTTAAATCCGTAGGCGAGGAAGAGCAGCCCCCGCCCGCTGTAACAAAGCACAGGCATAATGCAAGCCGCTGGTGAAAAAGCGTGGGGCGCTCTGTGCCATATTTTTCGTCTATCGAGCAACCCACGCTTTTTCACAATAATACCAGTATTTTTTGTTCATTACCATTTTCAGCCTAAATTAGGAATTATTTTTAACTTTTTAGTTTGATGTGCTTTAAAAGCGTGTTTTTTAGTTTATTTAAACCAGAGTTCCCCAAACTTTTTTGTGTCGTAGACCCCTTGCCATGTTTTTCCGTGTCGGAATACTTACCAGATATTGATTTCCTGTAAATTTCTAACTGTAGTTTAGTGAAGTTTAGTGTTATAAACTTAAAGTAACAAATTGGGGAACTGAGAAAATTCGCCCCGTCCAATATTTTGCTTCATTAGTTTAAGATGGACTTTGTTTTAATCAAATTTAAACTGTCGCCTTGTAATTACAAATGAACCATATTAAATTTTGTAAACAAATCTGTTAAATAGGCGATGTCTGCTTTCCTCTATCAGTGTATGTGTTGAGATCCACTATCGTGGACCCCCATTTTCATTTCATGGACCCCCAAATTTTTTTTTCGCTGACGTAGACCCCTTGCAGGTTGTCATAGACCCCTAGGGGTCGATATAGACCACTTTGGGAATCACTGATTTAAACTATTATTTATTTGAGTTAATAAGCGCGGAGTCCACCCCTTCCCCCTTCGGAATACGAAGCACAGCTTATATGGGTGAAGTGGTAGTTTCGGATTGATTATCGACAGTAAATTAATACAAAATGTTTCTTCAATCATTTATGAAGCATTACTTACCTAACTAAAGTTATTATTTTCTAATCAAATCCAGGGTTTTCATATAAACACATTAATAATCCAAGCGCCCTTTCCGATTTTACAGTGCTATGACTTGCTTGGTGAAGGGTATTTAAGGAGGGAAACGATGTATCAATGTATGAAGAAGAGCATCGCAAAAGCTTCCCGTGATGACGATGTCGAAGAAGCTGTCAAGGTAACTTTGAAATAGCTGGACGCTTAGTTTTATGTAATAATAGCTGACCCGGCAAACAACAAAACAAACGTTTTGCCATGTATATTATTTCTAGGAAACTTTTTTTTAGGTCAATAAAAATAACTATCTACTATCATGAAAAATAGGGGTTGATCGTAGAGGGGTGACAATTAAGGGTTGTATGTATTTTTGTATAGTAATACAAAGTTTTGTCTAAAAAATAAAAATTTAGGGATGGGACCACCCTTAACATTTGGGGGGGAAAGAAGATGTTGTGCGATTCTCAGACTTGCTGAATTTGCATAAAAAACATCACAAGAATAGGTCGAGCCGTTTTGGAGGAGTATGGGAACGAACATTGTGACACGAGAGTTTTATATATTAGATATAATTTTATTGGTTCTCACAGATCTTCAACATTACAAAAAATAAGCATGTGTGTAAACATGTAATCTTTGTGTGCGTATGCCCGAGTGTGTACGTGTGAAAGTACGTCCGTGCAAAGGGTTACGCGCTTAATTAGATTTTTCAAATTTGGGAATAATTGGCAGGTTTACTTCAAATTAATCAGGTTTTAAAACATTGTAGGAATAAAGGTCACAAAGGCGCTACAACCCTTTAGGCCTTTGACTTTTGTGTATGTTTCATAATCATTTGTTTTTTCAAATAGCCAAATAACTTATCAGCCTTCGATGCCTGACACACGCTGTCGGATGCGTACAGATAAGATACCTTACGCCCTCTATTTTCGAATTATAGTTTCTAATTTTTATAAAGTAAAATGCTATGTATAGCTTTTTACTTTACTTTCATATTTTGCATATATATCCTGGTATATTTGTAACGTTTATTACTATGAAGTTTTTATCTTAATTATAAAAATTACTGAAATATTTGTAAAGGTTTATAAGGATCGAGTGATGTATTGTAAAGCTGTGAAAGCGTGATCTAGAGTAAAAAAGAAACTGATGTTATAACTTCACAACATTATTTTTACTACTAGTTTAGTTATATCCATTACTCATAGATGACGCCTGGCTCCGAATTGACAGTTCAATTTCTTCTTGGAGAAAAAAAAATTGGACCCAATTTTATAGACGATTTTCCTTTCTTAGGACTTAAACACGGGCTATTTTAAGATTGGTCATCTTAAAATAGCAAACTCTACATTATAGAGGGCCCTGGAAGGCTCGGAAATTATAATGCTTTCCCTATACAACCGCCAGTCACCATTATGTTGTAGACAAAACATCTTTTTGTATTAAGTAAATATTTGTGTTTGCTAATATTACTTAAAATAGAAATAGAGTTCGGAAATAACAAAAAATTTAATGCTAATTTGAAAATGGCATTTTGTTAACAAGTAGTTTCGATAAATGTAAGGTTCATTTATAAAAGAGATGGCGTATTTCTGTAATAAATTGTTACTGTATGCTGTGAGATAGATGTCATTATCTAAGAAATGTCGTAGCCATTGTAATTAACCTTGTGTCAAGGCAGTTGATTTGTTTTCATGATATGTCTGGCTTAGGCTAGTAGACGATAATAAAACACACACTTCTAGAAGTTCATACAATTAAACCACTTTCGCACGCCTTTATTCTCATTTCACGATTTTTATATATATAAATCTTCTTAAACTTTTGTTTTATTATTCATCGACAGACGTAAAGCTGAGCCAAACAGGTAAAGCTACGTATGCTATTTGCGTAAAGCAATTATAAATAATTCAAATATTAGTTAAAACATTTATTAAAAATTGATTTAGTGACCTCTATTCAATCTTGAAGTGACTAAATATTTCGTACATTTTCAGGAGTTCGTGGATATTATGTTAAAACGCATGGACACAGATGTAGATGGCGTTATCAACTTCGATGACTTCCACAAGTCAGTGACGAAAACACCTTCATTATTGGAAAGTCTCGGGTATTGTCTACCGGAGAGACCTGCTGTTTACTCCTTCTTGGCTACTTGGTGTCCTAATTGGGCCAAAATGTAAATTACTTATAAGGAATTAAAAATAACTTTGAATATTGGCTACAAAGCGTGATTTTCCGATTACATTTAATCCCGAACTGAGTTTCTACATAAATTTTAACATGTACATGGAATATAACAATCTAAAAATTATCATAGCAATTTTGCATCCTCTTGTATATGTTATATTTTTACTTTATAAATTTAAACGTAACATATAAAGCATACTTCTTATGAATAGTATAATCAACCTTCTCCTAGTTATATGCTGAATAGCGGAATATTCGAAACAAATATCCAACCAGCGTATCATTATCACAATAGATATATTTAGTCATTTATTACTTGAATACACATATACATTTAGCTATTAAACTTTGGTTTGTCTCTAAACGTATATAAATATGTATAGGCACTTTTCCAAGAAATAGTTATGCTTTTAAATTGTAACTCATTTATTGCGTAGTAAATAATATAATCAAAATATTCCGTTTCATTTTGTCCTGCTTGAGCCGTTGTACCCTCAGGTTATAATAATGTTAAAACCATTTATTGTAATTTATATCACTTACGAAATATCTGTTTTACTTATTATAATAATAAGTCCTGCAAAGCCTACAATTTTTTCTGAGGCATTTTACATAGTACGTTCTAAGCATATATTAATATTTTTTATTAAATTTATTGCTATAAAGATTTATAAAAATAGAAAATAAAATCATCGGTCTGTCTGTTACTTACCATATAGATTTTGGGTACAAAAAAGCCAGTTTTTTACGATGCTATATCAAACATAGTTGAGATTAAACTGGCATTGGGTTTAATCACACCACCTCGGTGAATTGGCTGTACTGGTATCCCATTAAGAAATACTGTAGATAAAATCAATAAAATCTAATAACATTGAGTATGTTGTATGGTTAAGGATCACATTATAACAGTAGACCCATTCTATTTTCTACTATTGTACACTAAGTAATTGATTTTTCAAAACATTTAAGGTCGCAACATATTTTCTTATTGTATAACGTTAGAAGTACGATTTTCGCGAGTTTACACGAGTCTAAGAGCCCTAGTCATGGTAAATGACGAAACTGCCACATTACAGTTAGGATAAATTACAATTACAACACATACTAATTATATGTAGATCTAGATATATTTTAATACAGACGAGTACTAATGGGTCAGTACCTTGATTCCTTGTATAGGGTCAGTTGGTGGTAGTTGATTTGTTGTTGGCGACAAAATTAGGATCTTTATCAAAGTGCCTAAGCAGAATCATCGATTAAAAAGAGTGGCGGAAAGTTTCTTGCCAGTTCTTCTTGCCTGCTCTACGCCCTTGACTTGCGAACTGGTTGTAAATGTAAATTTAGAATTAGTTTAACTTCTTTTCTGACGTTCATAAGTACTTGTTTACCTATATGAATAAAGTTATTTTGACTTGACTTTACATCATTACAAAAAGCAATCCGATATTTTGGTCCAACTGTTGTCCAGAAGCATTGTTCCTTCTATACTATGAAACTTTTGACATGTAAGTTGTATGCTGGTACGGTGAGAAGAACCATGAATAAAAATAAATATAAATAAGTTAACTCTTAGGTCTGTCGTACGGGGATGTGGGTAGCGTTATTAGATAAATAGGTCACTCCCGCTTCGACTGACTGAAAGGGATCACTCACCTGTGACGTGTGAAGTACTAGGGCAGCAGCGGCAGCAGCAAGACCAAGGACATCATAGCAAAGGGGGGGGGGAGAAATTGACCAGTCCCGGTTTTGGAATTTGCAAGCTTCTTTATAATTTTTTTCAATTTTTCGCAACTGGTCCACTAAACAGTCATCATCATTAAATCATCTGCTGTACCTGGGTTCACTCATTGAGACGAAGGCTTATTGTTGTCATTAAGGATCCACTTTTCAACGTAGGTAACAATTCGATTCAGAATTACCTCATTTCTATGGCAATTTTGTAGTCCTATATATGGTTCGCGCCCAATTATCTATATTTTTAATCTTTTTGATTTGACGCTCCAAGGCCCGCAGCAAGATCAGCCGTAGATTGAGTTGGATCCGCTTCCACTTTCGCCGTCAATCGTCGTCGATGTCAACGGTTACCGACTAAACGCGAGGCTCGCTCTTCAACTCATAATTTCTAAATTTAAAACGATTGAACTGATAGAGGAACATGTTATGCAAGCAGTTTTAGACTATGTTTCGTGTAATTTGCGCAGCGGGCTTTCCACGTATTTCTCATATTCGAAAATTCTACGAACTTTAAATTTATTTACGGCGCCAAAAACCATCAGAATTTCACAAAAACTAATTCTGAAAACAAAATACTGAATTTTAATTAACACCGGTTTTTGAATAAAATTTATTTGAATTTCGAATTGGATGCCAACCCATTTATAATTAAATCTGTAAATTCTGGTTATGGAATCTCCAATTAAATAGGTATTCTTTTTCTATTCTGTACACCTCAATTACTGTAATTTAGTTAATATACTGAAGCTGATTAAAAATCATATCCAATTGTATTGTATTTATGAGGCCTCACACAAATTGATTCTGCCGCCCATGGGCACCGACTGCTAGGTTTTTAAATATTATATAATCGAGCAGTATTTTCTTATTGGATTCAGCATGCGACTCTCATGCCTGAGGTCGTAGGTTCGATCCTCGGCTGTTCATCAAAGGACATTCTTTCTATGTGCGTATTTAACATTAGCTCGAACGGTGAAGGAAATCATCGTGAGGAAACCGGCTTGCCTTACACCAAAAACTTCGACGACGTGTCACGCATAGGAGGCTGATCACCTACTTGCCTAATAATTTAACAAATGATCATGAAACAGATACAGAAAGCTGAGGTTCAGACCTAAAAAATGTTGTAGCGCCACTGTTTTATTTTATATTTTTTGTTTGGCGTTTGACATATTCGCTATAATGAAGAATTTTATACCTAGGTAACACATGTTTAGAAAATGAAAAACGGCTTAATGTAGAAAGTTGCCAATACTTTTTCGAAGTAATCTCCGTTACTCTCTACACCTCCTCGCATACAATGGAACCACTGAGAAAAGCAGTGGGCCCATTCTTCCTTAGGGGTCTCTTCTATGGCATTTTTGTACGCTTTCACCGCATCTTCAGGGCTCGTAAAGCGAATACCTCGAATTTTATCTTTAGTTCGTAGCCAGCTTTCATCACCTGTGACGATGTCAAATACAGCATTTGAGTCACCGCTGTTGAACTTATCTAACATTTGGCGACACTAGTCCATGCGAAGGAAGGTGTTTCTGGTCGTCGGTTAAAGTATGGGGAATCCATCTGGTACAAAGCTTCCTGACGCCTAAATGTTCGTGTAATATTTTTTGCCTTGTCTCATACCATTGCCTAGGCTTGTCCGTATGTGCTCATAGGTCACTCTCATATCTTCCTCTTTCATTCGTCGTATAGCACTGATGTTATCTTCAGTAGTCGCTATTAAAGGACGTCCCTCACGCGCATTATCATTGAGATTGCTACGTCCACGCTTAAACTCGTTAAACCAATTGTAAATAGAGGCACGAGATGGGGCTTCATTAAGAAATGCTAATCGCAGCCTATCATAGCTTTGTTGTTGAGTAAGCCCACAACGATAGTCATATTAAATCATTGACCGAAAATTTTCTCGCGTTAGGTTCATTTTCACGTGTTACAAGAGTTTTGAGAAATGAATGCAATAAACTACATTAGGTTACGAAAGAGTTCTAAAATTATGATTCAAAAAAGTTTTCATTAGCAACTGGCACGTTCTAAACATTTTCAGTGTTACCCACGTAACATCCTTAACGACGCAAACATCGTCCAATTCATAAAATGGGCTCAAGTTGGACATGTGCAACGAATGGTAGACGACAGAACCCCAAGGTCCTTACTGAACTCACAACCAAGTGGCAAGAGAAAACCCGGTAGACAGAGGCTGCGTTGGTGGGATGGAGTTGTCAAGCACCTCGAAAGAATAGGGTATCGAAGTTGGACGCAAGAGGCACTAAATAGATTGCGATTGCTAAATATAATTGAGGAAGATAAGGCCTACAAGAGGCTGTAGCCATTGATGATGATATAATCAAGTATATGAATGAAACTCTCTTGATTAAATGAGTTATACCCAAACGAAATTCTACGCATGTGCCACTCATATACCCGATCAATATTAATATTATTAAATAATATAGAAAAGGTTTGATTAAAGGATAAAGGGAGTTTGGGTCAGCGTTCATTATTACCTTTGGTTTCATCTAAGACTAGCTCTGCAACATTTACTTTATAATGTTTATTACGAGATTTGTGGATAATGAGAAATCTATATCCAATTTTATAACATTTTTACCTAAATGTTCTACATACAGCCGAAACTGCTGAAACGTTATGAAATTTCTTCAGAAAATCTCCAGAATCAAATTTATGTGAAAAGTAATTTAGAAAAAATAACTGATTTCCTACCAATATTATATCGAATATTTATTTCGACACAATCCATTTTCTATCAAAATGGTTGATTACCTGAAATGAAAATTATAGAGTTTATTTTTATAACAAACTAGCTGGCCTGGCGAACATCGTACCGCCTAACAGTGGACTCTTGATTTTTTTAAATACTTATTCTGCTATTCGGGACACCGGTCTAGCCAGTTAGATAAAAAAAAGTAAGTTGATAATACAACAAATACATTATGTTAAAAAATAAAAATTTACCTTCCCGGAACCCCTCCACTAACACTTGAACTTTATGATATGGTATTAAAGTTCAAATTGCCTTTAAATATTATTACGAATATTTTGTATGGGAATATAGAAAAGTGTTGTTTTTAGACTTTTTCACTCAATTTGTTTTAATTTTTCTCTCCGTAATAACCATTCTCGTATTTCAAGGAATATTATAAAAAAGAATCAGTCAAATCAGTCAAGCCGTTTTCATGTTATGTCGTGACAACGGAAAACGGGTTTCATTTTTATATATATAGATAAATATTAATTA